TCTCCTGCTGCTCTGATTCCCCCCTCCCTATTCCGGCCCGGGGCCTGTGTGTGTCTCTCCTGGAGGAGGAGGAGGATCCAGTTCCTCCCCCCACCCCCCTCCTCCCCACCCCCCCTTGCCTGGGGAAGAGGAGGAAAGAAACAGCCCAGAGAGAGAGAGAGAGAGTGAGAGAGAGAGGAGAGGAGGAGGAGGAGGGAGAAGGGAACAACCTACCATCTTAACACACTAATATCTAAAAAGTGCGAGAGGCCCAGAGCAGCAGCAGAAGCAGCAGCAGCAGCTCCAGCTTCTTCCCTCCCTCCCCATGAAGAAGAGTTCCCTCCTCCTCCTCCTCCTGCTTCTCCTGCTCAGAGTTCCTGCCTCCAGCTGCCAGGGGGGACAGCCAGCCAGCAGCAGGAGGGTGCAGTATCCCAGCTTTTCCATTCTCTTCTCCTCACTCTCCTCTCTCTCTCTCTTTTTCTTGAGTAGCTCTATTTCCCCTCCCTCCCCCTTCCCCCTCTCCCTCTCTCCCTCTGTCCCTCTGTCTTGTCTCTGGTGTTTGTCTCTGGGAGGAACAGGGGCTGCTTGCTTGGAGTTTGTTGTGGGGGGAGGTAGGGGGAGGGGAGGGGTGTGTGGGAGGGAGGAGGCAAAGGGGGGTGTTCTCGTCAGGACCCCTCAGTCAACTTGAGATTTGAGCAATAACTTCCCCTTCGGGGCGCCCCCCTGTGTGCCCTTCCCATTCCTCCCCCCCCTAAAAAAAGACAATGGAAAAACCTGGTCTTCCCCCTCCCTCCCCTCTGCCCTCCACCCCTCCCCAGGATAAATTGGAAGTAAGTTTATGAGCAGCCTCGGGAGCCTGGGCGCTGAGTGCAGGGCCGGAACGGGTGACAGAGGCGGCGCGCCGGGGGTGGCTGAGAGGGGGCGTCACATTGTCCCAGCGGGGGGCCGGGCAGGGGGCCGCGGGCGGGGGGTGCGGAACCTCATCCGCCCCCTTCGGCTGTCCCTCGGCCCGGGGATGGTCGCCTGGGCTCTTTCCCCCCCAACCCCGGGATGCTGTCGGGGGGAAGTTTTTATTATGGTTATTTATTTAATTTTTTTAAGAAAAATTTTTTTTGGAAAACCATCTTGTTTGGTGACTGAGGGATCTGATTTAAAAAAAAAAAAAAAGCTGCGGCTGCTGACGCTGCCGGGCCCGAGTGTGTGTGAGTGAGTGTGTGTGTGTGTTGGTGCATTTGTCTGGGGTGGCCGGAGCAGCGTTGGGGAAATTCCGCTTATTCTTCTTCTTCTGCAACTTGTTATTCCGGAGAGTCTGCTGGCACCCCTCACCCCGGGGCCGGCCCTCCCGCACTCGCCCCCCCACCTCCAGTGGCGGCCGCTGGGCGCCCCCGGGACCCTGTGCGGGCCGGGGAGGACAGGCCGCTCCGAGAGGGGCCGCGGCTGCCCCTCCCCCGCCCGCGCCCCCGCCGGGGGGAGGGGCGCGCGGAGTGGGACTCTTTCCGTTTGGTCCAGCCCCGTCGTGCACGCAGTTCCCAACACTTCTCGTCATCCTCTCTTTGGTCTCTTTATTCTGCTGAGCGGTGCTGTTAGGATTTCTTTTTTCCCCCTGACCACGTTCACGATGGTGGGTAGCAGCAAGGTGGCCCTGGTAGGGGAGGGGTTGGTACCGAGATTGGGCACCGGGGGAGACTGTCTCCTTTCAACTTTGTCTGTGGCTTGCACCCCTGGAGAAGGCCACACGCCGGTTGTGGGGTGCAGATGTGCCGAGAGTGATTTCTAAGTAGTTGAGTTGTTGAGATGAGGGCAGGACTGTTAATGGTAGGCAGGTTTTGTTTTCATTGGTGAATCTGGTGTCATCATATTCCGGTCATATGTTGAAATATTCTTTGTTTAGGTCTTGAAGTAGAGGATCTCACTCTGCACGTCCACATTGTGTTGTTTTTAAATGATGTCTCTAGGAGTATGGATTTCTAGAATTTCAACTGGGAGTTAAGGTCCGGGAGTGTGTGGGCCTCAGAACTGGCCTTGACAGTGAACTTTGTGGCTGTGTTTCGGATTTCAAAGATTTGCCCCATAGCGGGGGTGCGAGTTGTGCATTTTTCTTAATAGTCGGTGTCAGAAATGTAGGTGCTTGAGCTGGGGAAGTTAGAGAGGGAAGAACATTTATGTATTAATAATTGATAGCTGAAAGCTGAATATTAGAATCAGATTAATTTGGGCTGATGAAAGTTTTTTTTCTTTTTTCTTTTTTTTTTAAAGCGGTTGTGCACTCTAGGAAGGAAGCCTTTTCATAGGCACACTTTATAGGGGTTCTTTAGGGCAAGCAGCTGGAATATCTCCTCTTAGAGAGGATACTCATCAACATCTGTAGCTTTATTGGGGGTCTGGTAAGGGGACTGAAATTGGGGCTAAAACATGTAAGCATACTTTTCAATGTTTATGTTATTTGTTTATATCTGGTGTTCACTCACGTTTGGGCAGTAGAAATAAATAGGTCAGCTTTTCTTTTGGTTTCTGAAGACTAATCCCCTCCTCCCTCTATTTTTAAGTTTTACAATTTACTTGGTTTACAGCATTGTTGGAATCTGTTACTATATTTTTACTGGAAATATTATTATTCATTTTAATTCTGGTAAGTTTCTTTTCTTCTGTCTTCCCTTGTCTATGTTGTGGACTTCAAACTAGCTTATTAGGGGTCATTTAAAATATCTGAAAAATGCATTTTAAAGTCCCAGGATATATCTTTTAGTGACAAAGAGGAAATTTTTGTGTGCTGTTACATTCATGTTTGTCAAAAAAAAAAAAAAATTGTGTACTTAAAACTTCTGTAGATGTGCAACTATTCTTAAGTGAAGAGCATAGTAATAGTGCAGAAAATTCTCAAAACACAAACATCTGGCTGACATGTTAAAAATATTCCAGGTGCTTTTCTTTACATCTGGCTTATGCTTTTGGTAACATAATAGTATTTGCAGTTTGACTGGCATTGCTTGGCTGCCTACAATAAAGTCTTTTGCTTGAGTGCTTTTGAATGCTTTTAAAACTTGGTTTTTAGATAATTTTGCAAGCTTTATTTAAGCATGTTGTACTTTGGACTCAGGCAAGTCTTAATGGAATGGGAATAGTAATAAATTAAAAAGACACTCATCTATGCCAAATTTTATTTTTGAGACATATAAGTGGTGGATGGGGCCCTATTTTAGCTTTGAAGGGTCCATCCTTTTTCCTGTTCAGTCATCTGCAAGGAGCTACGTCAGAAATACTCTTCTTCTGCTTACATGAAGATCTCTAAATGCTATCCAGCAGGAGGTGCTACAGCAAGATACAGGAAATTTTAAAATTTTGATCGTCTTGCTACTTATTACAGCTCTACTTAGCTTCACCTAAGCAACAGGATTAATACCTTAAAGTTCCAGAAAGATTTTGAGTAAGTCTGTTTAAGAATTCCGTTAAGAAATTACTTTTGCTATTTGAAACCGAAATCTTTGACCGCTTTTTGCCTGCCTACAGTACTATATAAAGTGCATTTGTTTTTATGGATAGCTTAAGGATGCTGGGCTTACGTACAGAGCACTGTTAGAATTATTTTATTTTGAAGAAGAATTAGTGTATCAATGAGTGGGGTGTTGAACACATTTTAAAAAATATTTGCAATTGCTATAAACAAAAGTAGTTGGTATGATTTGGGGCTTTAAGCTTTGTGATTATCCCTATAATATTAATGCAAATAGATTATAGAGTAGTTGAGAATTTGGAAAGGGGGATATTGTGTGGAAACAACTTTAGACTTTTTGTCGTTTTTTTCCCCCTTTGAATCTAAGGACAATGATTCTAATGTAGATATGTTCTTAGGCACTCAGCTTTATAAATACATATGGTTAGTGTATTTAAGTTGTCCTCCAAAGACTGAGTTTCTTGAATTATGAGTAAAGTTGTATTTGTGGGTATAGGTCATTGCTGATATGTCAGTAACAACACTTAACAAGAACTACGTAAAGATGAAAGTAGCTACTTTAACAGTTTCATAGCATTTACAGCACATGATCCTTTGAAAATCTGTTAGTGTTAGGTGAATTGATTATCACTGGAAAGATCATGCTGCTGTGGTTGCCTGTAAAGTTTTATATCAAAGTTTTAAGAACTTAGGAAAGTGTAGAAAATTTGATGAACCTGCTTTGAATTTTTTTGTAGGCATTTTACTGCACTTTTTTTCTGACTAAGATCAAATGAGATAATACATGTGAATGTTCTTTGTAAATCATCAGAAGCCATGCAGATATTACATTGTTGAGATAGGTAACTAATTAATACATTGACAGAAGTTTCTATCTTAAAAAGCTAACTTTCTCCATATCAGTTGGAAAATTAATGTATTAAAAGTATACCCTGGACACTTTATGAATTTTTGTTTTTTAAATACTGCTCTGGTTACCAAAAATCTCTTTGTTACAGTTGTGAAGCTTTGTTTAAAAAATGCTGCCTAGGCAGTTTCCCATAATTCAATAAAAGACATCATTTTTCCTTTTGAAGATCCTATGAAATGTATGCCCATTCTTAAAATTTTTCTTCATTTCCCCATGATGAGATAATAGTTGATTTTAGTGAATATTTAAGTTCCTGGACTGTGATATAGATTCTTATTAACACACAGAGTAACAGATGTCATGGTTTAAGTTTTGATTGTTTTGATGGATTCTGTTAACTTCCTGAAAAATTCTTACTGACTAAAGCTTTCAAGCTTGTTTCACAGTGAAAAAAATGTGTTAGTATTAGGTATACATGTATATCATTTCTGATTTTCTATTTTAGAAGGGTGCGTGAGGAAATGACTACTCAGATCTAGAAGAATGCGCTGAAATATTTGTGTAAAAATAACCCAGAAGTTTAAAGGCTTGAGTTGTAGTTTTCTTAATAGATTCTGCTCACAAACTTGGGATAGAAAATTAAAAAAATAAAATAGAGATAATTGGGAGTCCCTGTGTTTATGAGCATATCAAAAGGTGTAGTATCTTAAATTTTAGAAGTGACTGTTCTTTATGAAATAGCCCCAATTAGATAGTAAATATAGAAACTTCTGTGAAGAGTGAGAAAAATGTTTTTCTGTTTAGATAAAAATGAAACCTCTCAGGGTGATATTAATTTTTTCATCCTACAGACAGTGAATACTAAAACTTTTTTGTGAATACTGAAGTTAAGATTACATTAATGTGCTTTTAAATTTCACATCCTTAGTATTTTATTGCTGAAGGCTTTGTATTTAATTGCCATTCAAAGGGAGAAAGGAAGGAATTAAAATTTTAGGTCTCTGACCTTTGACAGAATTCCTTTATATCTATATTCAGAACTGATTTCTTGAAACTTGTTTAAATTTTCATGTTATTTTGTGCTGGGAAATATTCATGATTTTCTGTTAACTTCTCAGGAACTTTTGTACTTGGGCTTTTTTGTAGGCCTAAGTATTTTTTAGGAGCATAGTAGCACATTTTGATCACATTAACTTTATAGTTTTATATTTTTTGCTGCTTTGAGATTTTTTTTAAAGAGGTAATACGTTAACACTACATACATTTACTGTAGATAATTATTTCTTAAATAGTACATGTTTTCTTTGTATGTTTGTGTGTATATAAGTCCATATTATTTTGTAGGCTTTCATATAATTCTTTGTGTATTAAATTTTTGAGTAGTTAATCTTTTGTAGGATGTTGAAATAGACTTTTAGGAATAACTTTTCTATTACTTGTCTTTGAATTCAATCTTAAACTGGGGTGATGGGGAACTCCTCAGTAGTAGAGATTATATGTGAGGCTTTTCTAAAGCAACTTTCTTACATTAGACTCTTGTGTGGCAGTTTGAATACCCCTCCACTTCTCTCCTTCCAGTATCCTGCAAGTCCACACCACAACCTCCCTCCCCTGCCTTTTTTTTTTTTTTTTTTGATAAAAAGAAGTTAGTGAGTAGGTCTTGGTTGAAGAAGACTATTCTTCCCTATATTTTGGAATTAGCTACATAAATATTTTCTGCTTTTTTAAGTAGATAAGAAAGTGAACCAGTAATATGGAAATAGGAAGAGGATGGGGCCTAACAGGTTGATGATCTAGGCTTTATTTTGACTTGGTTAGTGGGCTTAGGGGAAAAAAATAACTTAAACACAGAAGCCAAAAAGATGGGTTTTGTTTTATTGTTTTGGCTGCATTGAGAATACAAACTGTCAGTACTTGAGGAGAAGGAGCAGCAGAAAGGAATTGATTTTTTTCTGCTGCAGATCCAAGTATTGTTAACCATGTGCATCTCTAAGGCGGCATACTTACAAATCAAACAGTAGTTTATTCTTTCACTCATTTAAAAGAGTCCTAAACTGTTTTTTTAAAAAAATTTTAAATAAGTACCCAAAACTTCAGGGTTATGACAATAATTTCCAGATAAAAGTGGATGATAGTAACCATGGCAACTGCTATCTCTGGCCTTATGGACAGTATGTTGTATTGACGAAGCTTCAGATCCTTTAGTAACCTGTCACTTTTATGGTGAAATGTAGTAGCATGTGTTGCAGGTGATTTTTAGCTGGATTGTGTTAAATTTGTGTGCTGGCTTATCTTTCCTAGTTAGGAATTTCTTGGACTGTATTCCACAGCATGTTTGTGAAGGTGCTGTTGCCTGAAAATAACCCACCACCTGTGTTAGGCCTCCTGATGCAGATTTCATTTAGTTCTTTCTCAGCCTCCTTCCACAGTCTTGCAGAAAATAGGGGTGTGTGTAGGTATAGACATAAATTACAGCTCAAACTTATCAGTTTGGGTTTGGACATGTTATTGATAGCTTAAAAAAATCTTTAATGTTTTCAGAAGAGGATAATGGATGAGAGAAATGGGCCTATAGGTGGAATATTTTTTTAAGTGTTCTTTCAAGAAATTTGTGTGTGTGTGTGTGTGTGTGTGTGTGTGTGTGTATGTAAGTAGGGGTGAGGAATGCAGGGCATAAATATTGAGTAAGGACTTGACAAAAGAGGAACTTCAGTATTTTTTGTTTGTTTTGTGATGGTGTATGTGTTACTCTAAGAGTATGTTTCCTAGGGGGCAGTACTAGAGTATTGGAAATGTTTGCTTGTTAAGGATTAAGAAAAAATTATTTGTAAAATATATCTTGAATAACTGTTAAAAAGAAACAGGGTAAAACAAAACATTTGCGGGGGGGGGGGGGCAGGG